TTGAGTATGGTGACATAATGTGGTTATCGGGGCTCAAGATTGCGTGCTTTAGAGCCATTCCATGACAAATAAAACTGCCGTGACACATGTCTATTACATATTTTTGGCAACTTGGAAACACCGGTGTCACTTTTCCCCACAAAACTGCGACAGCTACAGAGTTGAAAGTTAGCAAGTACCTGCAAAAAGATCAACAGTTCCCTATGACGGACCCCAATTTTTTCTTTATTCATTTCCTGAATTTAGAAATATATATTTGACAAAAGTTCCTGTCCTTCTTTGGCCTTTGTGATTATTCCACTGAGAAACGATATAATCAAATCTGCGTTGCTGTCCTTCACTTTCTCTCTTTCTTTCTTTCTTTCTTTCTCTCTTTTTTTCTTTCTTTCTTTCTTTCTTTCTTTCTTTCTCTCTTTCTTTCTTTCTTTCTTTCTTTCTTTTCATTTGGCTGGCAGGGCTCTATATTGTACATGCATCAGAGTCATTCCATGGGAAATGAAACTGCCTTGACATTATGTAACACTGGCTGAGATGACCTGAGGATAACACCCTCCCCCCAACAGATAAAAAAATGTAAGCATTGGTGGACCCTTTCTAAACTTTTTCTTTCTTTCTTTCTTTCTTTCTTTCTTTCTTTCCAATTCTTTCTGTTATCTGGTTAACTCCGAGCAGCTTCAGGATTTAGGTATATATATACATATATAACCTTGATTTTGGAACACTGCGAGGCACCAACTTGAAAAAAAAATTCTTTAAAAAAATGTTTTTCATCAATAAAGCAATTGGCAGCTCTTGGTTTACATGAAAAGAATCTGAACTTTCCTCCGTAACACTAACCACCGCGGGAATCGGTTCTGGAATCGATTCTTCACCCAGCTCTATCAGTAAGGGCAAATATATATATATATAATATTAGCTGCCCCCCCCCGTTCGATGAACGGATTGAGACAGAAGTGTGTTGATTGTTCCCTGTAGCAAGAAAAACAATTTGACAAAGGAGTCCAGAAAAAGCGATGATGGGCATCAAACGAAAGGATCACAGTCGAATTTAGCACCAAGTAAAAAAAGAAAACATGAGGCTAGATCTATACGGGTCGCACACTTAAAATAGTGCCCAGTATCGCACGACAATGCGCAATAGTATCGAACGGAAGTACGAATTGAAATAAACAAACCTTGCAGATTTTCTAAAATTACAGAGACAGAAGCATCGGCCTACAAAAGCGATCGGCGAAATAAAGAAATTTAGCTTTTTGCATCAAAACTGTCTCAAAACTGAAAAAACGAAGGACGCCATTGTCTGGAGAATATTTTTAAGAATCTTTTGGCGAAAACCGCACGTCGATCGATGAAGCCATTTGAATAGCAAAATTCGGCCACCACAAATAGATAATAGAGATAAAAGTTTGACCAACCATGTTTTGTGTATCATAGTGTTGTCGCTCGTTTCCCCAGTAGCCACACGCGACCAGGAGAAGGTGAACCCCAAGGTCGACCTGGAGAAAATGCCTGTTCAGAAATGCGCGGGGGATGGGTCGGAGGTGGACGAACTGGCGGTCAAGATCCAGCAGACGTGCCGCATCGACCCGGATGACCAGCAGCAGCAGCAACTGACCGAGGGGCTGGCCAAACTGTCTATTGGCCTGGAGGGGAAGGAGGTGAGGAGTGGCCACTATGCTGATACAATTTATTATAATAATGACGATGAATGCTAAAATAATTATCATAAAGTTAAAACAATGATGTAATGATAACAACAAAATGATAGTATAGTAATGATGATAAAATACAGTAGTCTCCGCCTAAGATCCCGCCGCTTACGATCCCGGTTCGGTTAAGATCCCGTTGTTTTAGGAAAACAGAAGTTTTACTATACAAAAGTCACCCCTAAGATCCCGCTCTGATGGTCTACATTCGACTAAGATCCCGCATTTCAGATCATAATTTGCTAAACAAAAACCCGGGCGGGCACAGTCGATCAACCTAGAGTGAAAAGTTGAGATCAATAAACTGTCCGTCGCGTCAAAGATCAGCCACTATCGTGAATGTGATCACATACACGTTGTAAAACTCGATGAAGTGATACAATGTTTGCCCCAGACGGGATCACACCCGGGTGTGAACTGACCGACGCGTTTGTTTTCCCCACACATCACACTCACACCTGAGCTCGCCACCTAAACTTGCATCACTCGCTGGGTGGGTAGGGCCTACACGTTCGCTCCAGGAAGGATCACATCGAACCGTGAACTCTTCCTTGACCATTCGAGCAGTTATCTCTACTCCCGAATTTGCGAGACAGACTGAATTTTAATTGGTGGGTTCACAACGTAATGGTGTGTAACGACAAAGGCGGTTTGAAGGGGGGGAGGGGGACTCGGTCAGAGATGGAAAACTATAAATTTTTGACAGGTAAAGAGGAGGGGCAACTGGATAAGCGTAGATCTTGAGACTCATGATAGGATAATAAGTGAAAATGGCACGCCACATCCCACTATGCACCGTGATAGGTCATCAAGGTTAACCACTCTTTGCTCGCCATACGTCATAAACCCAGAAAGCGGTCACGTCAGTTCATTGTAGAGTGGAGGG